TCTCCTTATTTGAATAAATTAGAACTCTGATAATTGCTTATTTATGGGATCAATATTGGTCTTGGGAGACCAATCACTCATGCATCCACCTGACAGTCAAGAGCCTGCAGACCTACTAGGAGAGAAACTTATAAATTGGCCCACTAGAGTTTTTCCTGTGCAGGAAGATCATAATAAAACTCTGACACCTGCTTATCGCTAAATTGTCTAGAAAGTTGTTGTTGCTGTCTCAAGAATTACTTCCAGGTCTACAATTAGGTTACTATCATACAGAACAGAACCAAAATGGGGGCACTGGATGTGGTGAAAAAGGAAACCAAGGGATAAGCAAAATCCAGATCAAGCAAGGGATTGTCCTTTGACGTTTGGAACTTATTCATAAACACAAGATATAAAAAAGATGAGGGGGGGTGATCACATTTACATTTTATAAAGATCAGTCTTTCTAGAATATACTATTCATATAAATATGTGAGTCACAAATACAAGCAACAGATTTAATGTAAATTTTCTAGCAGCCACAGTAAAAACAAGTAAAGAGGATCAGGTGAATTAATTATAATACTATAGTTAATATAATCCAATATACTGACAGTGTTTTCATTTTAACATGTACTGAATGTAAAAAAAAATTTACTCAGTTGTTCATCAACTTCAACTCAATACTATGCTTTTCTAGAATATCAAGGTGCATTGTTAAAAGTTCCAATGACAAGGATTTAGTATTTTTTTTTTACAATTTTATGGAAAACAACTTGAGAACTTCCATTTTCTTCTTATAAGATTATAGTTCAGGATGTACTGTGTTTAATTTCTATGAATATGCTTTCTTATTGATGAAGGCCTGCATAAATAAGAAATGATACGTCATTCAGAAATGCAATATTTTATCTGTTGGTGACTCCCTCCATCCAAAAAAGCAAAACACAACTGAAGCTTCTTTTAAAACAACTTATCAAAGACACAGAATTAACATTTTTTAAGGTGGCTTATCTCTTATAAAAATGTAGGGGTTTTTTAAACGTGAAAACCCAAAAGGCTGAAATAAAGGCATTTGAATTTCTCCAAATTCAAATATAATTCATTTGATCATTAATTCTATCAGTGTCTGAAAACAATCTTATGAAGAGATACTATAATTATGCCATTTTACAGATGAGGAAACTGGATGAAAAACATACATTTAGCAAGACTCTAATATTACCTTGAATGTATTTACAAATTGAATCCTCAGAGTATTTGTTATCCTACTGATATAATTAACTTGTTACAATGACAGTGTCATTAGAGCAGCTAAAATTTATTCAAAGTTTCCTGACTGCTAGGCATTGTTTTAAATGCTTTACAGATCCAAACCTAATCCCCCAACAGCCCTACAGGTAGATAGTCTTACTAGCTCCATTTTTTAAATGAGGGAATTAAAAGATAAATTCTAAAAAAAAAATTTTACTAAGTTGAAATGCTTCACATACTGTTCTCAAGAATGTTTGAAAATAGTCTAATACATATTTTATTAGTTTGTAATAGTGGTTGCAAAAGCAGCTACCATCTATGGAGGGCTTTGGAAGTGTTGGGCACGGTTCAAGGCATTTGCGTGTAATAACCCATTTGATCGTCATGGTGATCTGTGAGAGGGGGGTACTATTACTATCACTATTTTATAGGTAAGAAAACAGAGGCATCCAGAATGTGGGTAAACCGGCCAACGTCACACAGAGAAGAATAACAGTGGTGGGATTCCTCTTTGCAGCCTGATAGTGCACGTGTCACATTGTACTCAAGTTTTGTATTAATGCAGGTTTTATCCAGATAGGATGAAATGTGGAAATTTCCTACATTCCCCAAACTGTGAATGAAGAAACGAATGCATCAATTTTGGATGACTGACCCATTTTAACTAATGCCTCCCCCCACCACAACTGTTCCAATTCAAAAGTTTTCCGGTTTTAAAAATCAAAATCCTACTTATATCATCCAAATATACATTCTAATTAGTGGGGTTGGAACTCAAGGTATTTAAAAAAAAAAGTTTAATTTTAAAGGGAGTTTTCTTTTTATAATTTCTATTAAAAAATTAAGCACCACCAAAAATCATCTGCTTTAACATAATCTTTTAAAGCTAAAAGTTTAATAGAGGATTTAGTGAAATATAAACAAAGAAACACTTAAGTTGATTTAACTAATATCAACATTCTATTTTATATTATCTCATTTTATAATCAAGCATTTAGATAGACTAGTGAGAGTTTTCTAAAAATACCCACTGGATAAATTTCATTAAAAATATATATATCTCTGGTCTTCAGTTTATTTATTTACTAAAAGCTATGTGGGCCTCTCTATAAGGTATATAAAAGAAACATTTACACACATCCTTATTGATGGCTCATTAATAGCACAAGCAACATTTTAAGGCTTGACACTTTCGGTGCATGATTATTCAGTTTTTCTCCATATATAGACACCACACCTTGTTGTCAATAAATAATTCCACTTTAATGGCAAAGTAATAATTTAGACAGATACAGGGTGCACATTTGCAAAAAAATATATGCAAGCTGGTTTACAAGCTAGAGGAACAATAAACCAATAGAAAATACATCATCCAGTTAAGTCCATTGACACCAAGTACTTATTATTGGGGCTTTACAAAGACTACAAAACTTTTCAGATGATTTATTTCACTGTTTCTGCCTATTTACATGATATGTTACATCAAAAATGTACAAAATATAAAATGTATACAGACAAATGTTTCACAAACTAGTTTAAGTTGTAAACTAGGTGAACCTACTGGGATGTATTGCAGGAACTTGTGTTTAAGATCATGTTTGGACTGTGTTTCTCAAAATGGCAGGGAAAGATTAGCAATTTCTTTTAGACCACATATCATACAAGGGCAACTAGTCACTCATCCAGCTACATATACTGATGTTTTACGACAGCTCTGATCCATGTTTGAGGCTTCAAAGTCAGGGTGACAATTCTATGTGCATAAATTCAGTTCAGATTTCCCTTGGGGCAATAGCACCGTGTAGGACCTATAGACTTAGCGACACTCTGAAAACGGCACAGATGTCTTGTGTTGTTATTGTTCTATAGCAACTGACCCACGGGTGGTCACAGAGGGTAGCACCAATTCACGTCCTGAAAGCAACCCATCTTCACGCGCCTGGAACAAGTCTACACCGTGGCCTAGCCCTTTGGTTTGGAAAACTCAAAACCCCGCCCTCTGTGCGTGGTGGTAACTTCTCCCATGATTCCAATTGGTTTTCATGCACTCTCTTTAAAGCCTGCCACAACAGATGCTTTTCGGACATTTTTACTCTCCCAAAAACTTATTGGCTTCATGTACAGTTTTGAAGCATGCTCACTCTAGCACTGATCGCTCCTGCATCGTCATAACAACTGTAAATACAGGACAAACACACCAGATAATAACAGCTTTGAGGGTTTGCATTCTGTATTTGTTTGCAATGTACAGGAAATCTCAGCAAGTGAAACACCTCAACACCGACAGGATTAAAGTACATTTGTGTGTGTGTGTATGTGTGTATGTGTTTAGATTTGTGCAAGATTTTTAAAATGATTATTTACAATCCCTACCCAGTAGACTGTGCAAATCTAACCTTCTTTTACAGTATAAACGCTTCTTCCACAGTGACTTCACTGCTTCAGTGTTCTTTAATGCTGAATTTCTCATGTACAACGATAGCAATCAAAACGACATGCTCCAAACTAAGAGGAATAGTACGAATAATAATGAAAAGAGGAGGGGAGGAAAAGCCAAATAGTTGTGCTCATGTTGCATCTACTGCTTCCAGCTCTGCTGGCTAAGAATTCCAAATCTCCCTCCTTCTACAACTCTTTGCCTAGAACTGGATGGAGGGTAGCCACATGTCTTCGCTTTGAAGTGATGGTCAAAGAGGGTTTCCGGGCTAACTTGAACATTTTGGAGGAGAGGCGATCTATTCCCAAGGTAAAAATACTCTGATTTTTCTCCTATCCAATTCTTCCAAAAAAAAAAAAAAAAGAACCCCCGAAACAAACAAACAAACAAACAAAAAAAACCCCAAACAGATATCTAGAGATGAGGCTACTGTGTTAACTGGTGTTGCTTGGTTATAAAATGAAAAGACAGTGGAGATTACCAATGGTTTAGGATTTAAACCAACTGTTAAACTGTCGTAGAAATCTGTTTTAAGGCAGTGAGACAGCACCATAGGAAATGTTCCTTCTTTCACTGAAAAGGCTCCAACAAATAAAGCCCTAAGAAAGCCTTTTGTCAGTGTTGACTAATAATTGGTATAAAACTCTTGTTAAGGGAGTGGGCAGGTGGTTTAAAACAACCTTATAAAACCTGTGGTAAAAACAACCTTATAAAACCTGTGATCATACACGAGAAAGTTGGCGGAGCACATCATGTGAACGTGGCAGTTAAGAATGACATTGGCACGTCTCCAGCTGGCCGTCGTCGTGTCTTCCTGGCGGTCGCATAATTCCGCTCGTGCCGACGGAGGCCTGGCCTCTTGGCTTCGTTTTGGAATGGGGTGCGCGCACAACTCAAACGCTGCTGGAGCCCTGTGACCAGCACCATGGGGCACGAAGGAGGTTGGACGGAGAAGAAGGGGCCCTGCTTGGGGGGAGGACGGCCCCTCAGAGGAAACGAAAGGAAGGGACAAAAAAGGGCGGCATTGTAAACTTTTAAAGAGGAAAAAAACAGAAAGTCCAGTTTGGCTATCCCGTGTGCAATCGATTCAGTTGCCCTGTCCTTAGGGTCCTTTCCAGTTGAGTAATGGAGCCGGACATCACTCCAAGGATATAAAAATGCCTAGAAATAAAATAAAGTTAAGCTTCCGTTTCAGTTGAGCATCTTGGCGATTCCGACTTAGTTCTGCTGCCTCCTCGGAGACCACGACTCTGGGTCAGGGCCCTCGACAGGGTGCTTTCATACTGGCAGTGGGTTAGTGAAAATACCTTACTTGTTAAACCTTTTGAAAAAGCATAGTCTCTTCCCCTAACTTCTTTCACCCTCTAGAGAGTAGATTCAAGAGATGAATCTAGAATGTCTTCATGGTGGCTGGTGCTATCGCTGTCACAGCTTTGTGTGCCCGAGTAATTGGCTGCTTCTTGGAGTTTCATTAGCATATTCATCTGAAGAAAGAAAAAGAGACATCGATGTAGGCAGTGATGCAGTGAGTGAGCCAGCCCCGCAAAACACTCGGCCCTGAGCCACAGGGAGGCAGCGCGCCTCATCCCATCCAAGCGAAACGGGAAAACAATTTCAGATTTGTATTCGTCGCCTCCGGCTCCTATCCCAGTTCTCCCAAACATGGCTACACCACCAAACCACAAGGACAGAATCGGGCCTCTAGATAGCTCTTTTATTGGGGTTGTGAATGAATACGGCTCCAGCAGGGAGACGGGGAAAGAAACTGTATCACAGCTGGACATCCGGGCTCGTTGCAGGAGAGCACGCCAAGCTTCCCGGCTTTTTGGCGGGGAGAGACAGAAAGCATTGAATGGCAAGTGAAAGTCAGGAAGGCTCGTACACACACAGGCGCGCACACAGGCGCGCGCGCGCTCCCCCGAGAGAAGGAGGGGACGGGGTGGAATGAAGCCAGCTGCTGCACACAAGCGCACCATCTGCTGCTTAGGAGCTGACCTCGAAGGAGGGGATTGAATGAAGCGGACCATGAGTGCTTGAAGAGGGAGAGGGAAAGAATCACTGTCAAGTTTCTGTTGTTGTTGCATTTCTGGCTAAAATATGATTGATATATCACTGAAAACAAAAGCCACCTTCTGGAACAATAGCAGCTGTCTCGGGTTTCCCAGTGGATAGGACAATGGTAATGTTTGTTCCAGGAGAAGGGACATACGTATGCGTGAAGGCGCCTGGGGAGAAAGACAGCTAGCGTGTCCATGTACTACAAAATAAAAGGCAGCCACCTTGCTTGGCTTTTGATAGATCCGCAGATCCACCGTTAGAGAAAAAAGATTGTTTAAAAGCAAATTGTGGATACATTGTTCAACGATTTTAGAAAGTGCAGGAAAACTGGCACAAGTCTTCATGAAAGGAGTAAGACTTGTTTTCTTGTCAAGGGTTTCTAGAAATTGTCCCACATCGGGCTCCCTGCTCAGCGGGGGGGTCTGCTTCTCCCACTGATCCTCTTCCCTCTCATGCTGTCTCTCGTTCTCTCTCTCAAATAAATAAATAAAATCTTTAAAAAAAAATTAAAAAAGGAATTGTCCTAATCTTTATGTTGTCTAATGCATAGTAATTTTATTATTTTATAAAGTAATCCCAGTTGTTTTTTTTTTTTTTCCAAATTAGAGAACTGGAGAGTCCGATCCAATAAAAAAGAGAAATCTAAAAAAAGGATTCCTTAGGCATATATATGTTAAGCTATGGACGCTTGTGTGCTCGGTGTAAAATGCGTGTTCAATAAACGTTTGCAAAATCGATGATAAACTGGTAATCACCAATTTTAGCAAGCGTGCCTCTCTTTAAAATATGCTACAGTGATAGCATATTTTAAAGTCATTTTAATATTCTTCAGGACAGTATTTTTCAACATAATTGTTAGTCTCTCTGAATTTATTAAATCAGCTACATACAGATATGAAATGAAAATAGTTAGTGACAACCTCTCAAACCCCATAAGGCAAAAAGCCAAATGTCTCCATCAACACGTACTTTCTCTCTCTCCCTGTCTCTCACCCACACACCCCTCCCTTCATGCACATTCATATTGCCTCCCCCCTTTCTCATGTCAGTTCCTATGTCAATAGTAGCTGGCTGTATGTTCAAGCATTTGGGTGAAGATCATTTGTAAAACACAATTGTGTGCTGAGTGTCCTCCTGATTTACTAAGAGCAGAAATTGTAAATGAGGTCTGTTTAAAGGGGTATGATTCTAACCTCAGTCACAAATGTTTGAAATCACTTGAATGCTGAATGTTGTAAAACTTTTATGGTATAACAGAAGTGTCATTAAAGTCTTAATCTTTGAAGATGGTGCCATACAGAAAATATGCTTTATTAGAATAAGTTCCAAGTCTTAGATTCATAATAAATGTACCACGAGATTTAATTTGCCTTCTCATAGTGTTGCTTTGTGCATTCAAGTCAAAGGGGATTACAAGAGGGGGCAAGGTTACAAATATGACCCAAAAGTCACTGGGATAGATCGTTATTCTCTGCAAAAGAATGTCCCTCCTCTCCTCTCCTCTGCCTTCCCCACATCCATAGTCATAAATATAATGTCTATCATTTGTAACATGTTGCTCAGGTCCTTATCACCCCTGCTATTACCAATCTGCTGGGCTCCCAGCCTCCATTCTCCTCTTTAATCTATCTTCTGCTCTGTTACCAACGAGATCTTTATAACCTGCAAATCTAGCTAAGGTAAGTCCCCTGCCCAAACACCTTTGATAGCTCCTCATTATTGGTGTGATAAAGTTTTAACTTCCTACAAAGATAAACAAGCCTCGGCACAATCTAGCAATTGCCGACTCTTGTAGCTCTAATTCTTCTTGCCCCTTTTGTTCTAATCCCATCAATCTGCATATAGCATTTTTATTCATAATCATTTTTATTATGCTATTCTACGTTTCACCTGCTGCTTCCTTAATTTTGGACGTCCTCCATCCAACCACATGATGAACTTTTATTCTTCCTTCCACACGCAGCTCAAGAATCTCTGCCTCTATGAAGCTTTCTCTTAATCACTTCCTCAACGGACTCACAACTTTATCAAGCATGTGACTCTACCATTATTTTACTGTAATTTATATAGGTAGATGTCTCCACTAATGAACTGTGAGCTTCTTGAGATCAGAAATATTTTACTTATCTTTTTATTTATCTACCAGGTCTTAGCCCTGAGGACATACTTATTAATACTTGTTGAAAGAATGAATGAGTTTGTTGATGATGAATAAAATACTATGAGATGCACCAACAACTTGTATCCTTGTTCATAGCCAACATATTTCTGACATTAAATAGTGGATTTTTTTCCAAATATTTTTGATTTAGATTGGATGGCAAATATATTTTTACTTGATGCCAGTAACTATAGGACGATAACAAAATAAAAGCAGATGGAATATTTATTTTCTTATCAGGAGGTGCTTGATCCAAAGATTTACTTTTAGATGATAATAAGTCTTTTGCTATTTAACATGCCATAATCCCGTTTCTTAAGATGTTTAGTTGAGCAGCCGTTTAAGTCAGATTTTTTAACCCCAATTTTCACTCAGGATGGGAGACTCTGGATTTCTTTTCCATACTAGAAGACAAGAGCTTTCAGAGCCAGGGAAGAGTGCTGGATGGGTTTAGCTGATCAGGACTATGGGAACTGGGAAGTTGAGGGCATCCCCTAAGGGTATCTTACTCGACAGTTTAATTCTCAAAACAAACTCTATAAAACCTCTCCTTACCTGGAACAGACACAGTATATCAACACACAAAGGCAAGACTAGAGTTTATAAAATTCAGATGTAATAACCCATACTTGTATCCTAAAGTTTATATGTACTCTGTTAAATACTAAATCATTCTATCAGCAATTAATTAGTATTTGCTCACAATTATGCTGCATCCAAACCAATTCCTCCACCACTGTTTATTTCAAGTTATGTATGAGCTAAAGGGCCTACTATCTGTTAGAAAAAGAAAGGTCCAGGCCCTTAAGGATTTTACAGTCTAGAGCAAAAGCCCAATATAGGAAGTCCTATATAGGAGTTCTCTGGACTCTAAGCAGACCTTTGTATATACTTCCATGACTCTACAGAGCCCTTTGAAATAGCATGCACAATTTTCTGTGTGTGTGTGTGTGTGTGTATGCCTTTTGCTGTGGAAAAGATCTTAAAAATCTATCAGCTTGTTTACATGTAACCCCCAAAATATTAAGACTGGTCAGCTGAGATGATAATGTATATATGTTGGGTTGTGGGCATAAGAATATTCCACAAAATGTCAAGTCATTTTATGTTCTTGGGTATAGTCATAGGTTATGATTTTTAATCATTTCTTTTTTTGTTTTAAATAACATAATGGCCTTTATTTCAGTATCTTTTCTTTCTGTATTGATTGTACAAGTCCAGTGATTTCTTTAGCCATAGAATGGTAAGCTAATAAAGACATTACACCTGACACCAATCTATACAAATTCATCCATAAACATGAAAAAAATACATAAAAAACAAAATCTTTTTCCAATAATACCACTTACTTAATATTCTCAGAGTACTCATAGTTTGGAGTTTTACCGACCTTTCTTAAACCATATAGAACTTCAAATTAAGAAAGACAGGGAGAATCAGAGGGAATAACTTCCCTTTGATTTCCAAGTCAGTTTAGTCTTCTCTACTGTAGGCAACAAAAGACTAACTGTAAGTCTAGTCAGACTAGTTGATATATGTAAAAGATTCTTTAGTTCTCCAAGTGTACATTAGATCATATTCTTTTTTTTAAACGTAAGAACAAAATTCAGTTTTCTTTTAAATACCAAGTGAAGTGAGTCATGTAATGTTGAAGATTTATTAATTTATTTACATAATTTTCTGTATAATAAGATAAGAATTATGGTTACAGAGTTCAGCCTGGTTTTAGTGTTTCTTGATTATTAAGCATACAAGTTTGGTCTTTCATTTTTAAGAATTTTCCCCAATGAAAGTAGGCCAAAGGCAAAAGAGTTAAAAACTGAATACCTATATCAGAACAGTTCCAAATACCACCTAAGATAACTAGTATCTTTGATACAAGTGACTAAATATTGATGACCACACACCGTAGTTAAGATAATATTAGAAGACTCACACATCAGCTTCTTACCAGAGGATCCCCTTCTGTGTCACTCTGTGGAATGTGCTTCGAGGTTGTGGCTTCCTTAGTGGCTACGCAGCCCTCATACCCAACATCTTCTGGTCGCAACTGAAGTAATGCTGGACCATCCTGAGGCAGAGATGCTGAGCTCCATGGGTATGTGTCAAGCACCCACTTTGAGGGGTCTTCCCAAGGTGCCCGTTTCCCATACATCTAAAAAATGATCACATATTTAATACATATCAAATACATTTCTATTTGGTAAAACAGGTGACCACTAATTGAGTGATTCCTTTGCACATTGAGTCCTTTCAAGGGAATTGGGTCCATATACAATTTTCCAGATTGTAAATATATGTCTGTCTACATAACTCTCTTTCAACTTGAAGGAGAAATAAAATAAAGATGAACATCTGGGATAGATGGTCAGCATTTGGGAGAGAGTACGAAGGGGGTTTATTTTTAAGTGCATATAGAAATCGCTGCTCATATTTACCCTTATTAGTAATTTTATAAACCAAAAGAACACTCACAGTTGAGGAAGAAAAGTTCCAGTGATGGAGAATTGAAAAAAGCTATGCTAGACACTAAATAGAGTTTTCTACTAAAGTGCACTTTGCAAAGATGATAAATAAAATAAGAGCCTTTTTCTCCATCAACCTCACTCTACTCAAATTTTCTTTGAAAATAAAAATACTTTCTCTGATAATCATTTTCTCCAGATTAATTTCCTCTAATAATCTCATTGCTTCTTGTAAAAATTCTTTTTAGATGTTTATTTATAAGGCCAGCAGTAAAAGAAGAGGAAAATGGGAAATGGAAGCATTAATGTTGTCAGGACTCAAATGGAAGCAAAGAGTCTGTAAGAAAGAGATGATAATGGCTAAAGTACTGGTAGTGGAGGAGAGGGGAGAAGGTGAATGAATATAAGACATGTTGAAAGTTTTTAAGCTGGAAGCAAGATTGAAACCAAATTAGGAAGGGCACACTGCAGAGGCGGAGGTGGAATGGACTTTGTAAACAAGTACAAGGCTGCTGGGGAACAGAAAGAAAAGCTAAAATGCAGGGAGGGGCACCTGAGTGGTTCAGTCGGTTAAGCATCTGCCTTCTGCTCAGGTCATGATCTCAGGGTCCTGGGATCCAGTCCCGCATCGGGCTCTCTGCTCAGCGGGGAGTCTGCTTCTCCCTCTCACTCTCCTTCTGTGCTCTCTCTCTCTCATTCCCTCAAATAAATAAAATCTTAAAAAAAAAAATGTAACTAAAATGCAGAGAAGAGGGCAGTAACGTGGCCAAACTAGGTCTTTGATATACTTCTGTCCTGCCTTGACCTGCTCCTCCTTCCCTCCTGCAATCCTGGTTCGGAGATGCCTATTTGGTCTCAGATAGCACACTGTGAGGTGTTCTACATGGCTTGTTGGCTTGTTGTGGTTCAGAGACAAAAGCAAAATGGTGGATACTGACACCACAAAAGGCATATGGATTGCCTTGGAGTTATCTTTTGGGTTTCTCCTGGAGGAACTGTATGAGGTTGTGTCAGCCTTGCCTTGAGTAAAAGAGAAAGAGAGAAAGAAAGAAAGAGAGAGAGAGAGAGAGAGAGAGAAAGCAAGCCAGCAGGCCAGGTCCTGGTATCTGTGTATTCCTTGGGAGATAATGGCAAGAGTAGCAATCACTAGATTTTTTTTTTTTTTTTATGGCTATCTTGTTTTGGAGCAAAAGTTTTCTCTCAGTTAAAAACCTACTTTATATAGCTATAAGACATTGCTTGCTATACAACTTAAGCTAATTGAAGGAAAATGTGTAATTCTTGGAATGTCAATGTTACAAAAAGAATATGAAGGTCTAGAATCAACTGATGCCAGCCTTTTAAAGAATCATCAAGGACAGCAAGATTGGAGGTGACCAAATGCCAAATAGGTCCAATTTGAAATTTCAGTGTAAAATAGATATTATAGAAAAATAATTGAAAGATTTAAATATTAAAATATTATAAAATAATAAACTATTAAATATTTAAATATTTAGAATACTATAAATTGATTGTTGACATTTCAATAAAGGTAGCATCACCAGAATAAAACTCAGAATCCATTGTATCACCAGTGTTTTTTTCCGACTAGAACATCAGAGAGCATTCCCTACATGGTTCCTCATCAAAGCATTCATCTGAAAAGAGATTTTTCTATTCCTCTCAACTCAGATTTTCATCTTTGCAATCAGGCTTTTTTTTTTTCATCTCTTGCTCCAATTCAAGGTTCTTTGTTACCAGTAGATCCAAAGGAATGGTTCATAACACACATGATTCCTTTTCTTCCTTTTCTTACAGAAAACATCTATGGACCATCCCAGGAATATCATCTGCCAGTGGACTTCTGGCTGAGCACATCCTTCAGTAGCAATGAGAACTGTCTACCCACCAGAGGGTCTTCCTTTCTTATCTCTCCTGTGTGCTGGATTTCCCCCCTTACTCCCTACATCATGGTTGACTCAGCATTTACACTAACCTACTACTAAACTTCTAGAACCACAGCGAGAAACGAGACATTTTTATCCTTCTTCAAAAATAATTTTGAAATATCTCCCAGTTTTAGTCTGGGAAACTGGTATTACTCTAATGGTTATACTTTCACCTAAATTATAATTCTCAGGATAGTGTTTTATAAATAATATTGATTTAAGTATTTTAAAAAAGAACTGATGCAGTTTTAAAAAATGAGACTTAAAGAAGTTAAGCATTGTTAGGTATTACTGTTTTTGAGTTTGTAAAATCTTCTTTTTCTTTATCTGTATTAGTGAACACATATGAAATAAAGAGGATTTTATACATAAAGACTTGGATGACAGCTTATTAATACTGAAACTGTATGAAGACAACCTTCATTTAAATATTAGTTTTAAAAATTATGACTTCTAGCATATTATAAATTTTCACACAAATTTCTTTTTGTATAAAATGATTGAAATTGAGAGACTCAGCTCACATCTTAGCATAACAGTTTCAGAGGAACCCAGAAAAGTGAGATGTTATACTTAAAAAATAAAAACCTTTGGTATAGTCTTATATTTTGTTGGAACCAAACAACAACTGGGGCTAGATTGGCTCATACCCATCAAATATGAAATCGTATTACTTAAATCTGGAATAAAACCAGTGGATAGCATGCTCTAGGATCAGTATCTCTGAACATCCTCAGTGCATCCACCTAATATTTATTCATCATGTTCACCAGAACCATCATGATGGTTCTAAATACTGCCCTTCTGTTCTACTAGGTGAGGAGAGTGTACTGGTCAAAGGAAGGGAAAGGAGGGAGTATCAATAACCAGTGTCTTTTTAAAGGGTAAAGTACTTAACACAGTATTGCAGATGACAAAATGTGAAAAGCAAGAACTATTATCTTAATCCTAGTAGCACTTGCGATAATCAGAGATAGAGATGCCTAAGCAAAAACTTCCTAAACTTTGGCCGAGTTGTTGAAAAAATTAGACTCTTTTTCTTTTACAGTAAGTTGGATGATTAAGCAGTAAAAATCTTAAAGATTCAACCTTGAGTTTTACAATTCTACAATTTCATGAAATCTCAAATCCAATTTAAGGAGATAGTATATTTTGTTGAAGAAACAGAATTTTCTTATTAGTGATGTATTTTGACTTTTTCATTAAGAGTACATAGAAGAGACAGCATAGGCCCTCATGACATAAGGTAGATGAGAGGAACAGCAGAGATGCTGCTAAACCAACCTGCCATAGATCTTAAAAAGTCAACTGCCTTAGAATTTAGAGCATTCCCTCAAAATAGTAAAGGATCTTGCAAGTGATGTTAAACGGCTTCAAACAATGAAACATACTAAAAACAGGGAACCCATAAGCAAAAACTACTTGTTGCAAACTATACAATAAGAGAATAAATGTTCAAGCCCCATGTTAACATGTCTGTCTTACAAGATAGAGAACTGTCTAATTAACTGGCTGTCCCAACTGACTGCTATTACCCATGGCAATAAGTTAGTTTGGCCTTAAATGGGTAGTTGTTGGAATAAAGGTTTTCTCCTTCTTCTGTATATTTATTTTCAGAACAGAATATACAAATAAATAAAGTGTTGCATACTAGTTGATTTTTAAAACTTTACTAGTATATTTATATAGTTCATGCCTTCAGTTTTCTGTATAAATACCCAGAGAAAAGAATGTTTTTTGCTTTAAAGGATGATTTTGCTTGTTTTTAAACAGTAAAGAAAATTGAGTACTATACCTGAAGACCTTCTCTCACTGCCTCCAGAATGTAAGGTACCAAAGAATAGTTCCAGAGATCCATGAACCACACTCTAGAACCTTCTACATCCATAGGACAAGGAAGGAAAAGTCGGGGGCCTAAGAAGAAGCAAACCATTTTGAGAACCATTACATGTAACAACCTAAACACACAAATACTCAAGACATCATTTTGGGGGAATTAATAATATGTCTTGCAGGATTCTTAAACAATTACAATCTTGACCAGCTTGACTATTATCAAAGTATGTTTTACTGAAGACTCAATCTCCTGAACTCGCCTTCCTTTTACCCTAAAATCTTAATCTTGAACATAACATATTAGAGTTAAGAGAAACCTTAAAGGTCATAATCCAGTCAACCTGCCCCATTTTATAGATGATGAAACCATGCTGAAGTAAACTGCCAAATATAAAATATGTTATTATTTGCAGAGTGGGACTCAGCCTTGGTCTTCTGATCTCAATTGTAAAATTCTTCTTTTTCATTTACCTTGATTCTTTGGTGAGTACATCTTTATAATCCATCACAATGGGAAAGAGACTTCTATACACGCAATTTAAGAAGGATTAGAAAAATAAACATCTTTATGCCAACTAAAGAGAAGTAATTCAGTTTTGCCTTAAGGAAAAGTATGAAACACCTCTGTTATCCATAAAACACCTAAATTATTTCTAACTAAAATCTTCTCTCATGACTATATTTGATGTGAGCCACTGGCTCAAATTTGTTTTTAGCATAAAAAGAGACTTTAAACAGATACAAATTATTTCAAATGGTTATCTGATCTTTAAATATGTGTCTATATTAAACTCACGTGATTTCAGTCAAATCTCAGTAAACCATAATTGTCAGGCAAAATGAATCTAATCAGACATGTAAAGCCTAGAAGAAGGCAGACTTTCAGAAGGAAAAAAAAAAACTTAAATCTTTGGGAGCCTGAAAAAAAATGAACTTTACTTGTTATTTTCTACCATCCAATCTGGTCATCGTTACCACATACCCTTAGGTCCTGGAAAATGGCATAGTGCAGTTTTGGAACTCACCAATGGTAACATCAGAAGAACTGTGTGTTTCCAAAAAACTGTTGAGATGATGCCATGTCTTAGGAATCCAATCTATAATTTTGACTAAGTCATTATTGCGTATGTTCCTTTCAATCTCTATCTCTATCAGTTTCCTTCGAAGATATCTGCCTAAAAAGCCTTTCACTGGTTCTGTGTGGTTCGCGCATAGCACCCACCTACCAAAAGACAAAACCATACGTAACAAAACAAAACCAGAAATCTTTAAATAAATTAAGTTTTAAGTCCACAGTATTCTCTTTCCAATATAAATGAAGAATATTTCCATGTCAATTGGTGGCTCCTTTTAATGATCAAAGGGGTTAGGAGATCTATTAGCATTCGAGGTATACAATATAACTAACTTTTCTTTTTAAGCTAAAGCGAAGCTCATGTGCATCAGAAATGAGTGGGAGTCTACATGCTGAGTACTCTTCTGTAGGAGAATCACAAATCCTGAAATAGGAACTCTCTTCACATTCCTCACACTTTGAAGAAAAGCGCTCTACTTTAGCTGGTGACACAGTGAGCAGGACAAACATTTCTTTCCTTTCCTTCCTTTTTTCTTTTCTTTTTTTTTAAAGAAACACTTCTGATTACAGGTTGAGGATCACAAAATGTCTGCTTGAGAAAGAGTGTCAGAAGAAGTGAGAATTATTTTCACACCACAGGTCACTACTGACAGGATATGTCAATGTACAAATGGAAAAACACTAACCAAAAGCAAACAGAAAGAGACAATACAAACAAACAAAACAAAACATTCAATTTATCTTTACCTGAAATTGTGATGCAGCTCTAGATTTGGTGATGAAGAAACTCCCTGATTCATTGTTCCAATAATATATGGACTGGAAAATAAAATAAAATATGTAGATGTGCTGAAGGTAACAGAGATTAGTCTATTAAAATTGCCTTAAAAACAATGTAGGTAAATATGGATTATTCCATTTTAACATTAGGCTTTAAAAGGGTAATTTTGTAATGTTAGGTTGAAAAATGACAAAGATCATTGAGCTGGAAATTTGGATTTGGGGCTCCAATTTCAGCTCTAGCATGCTAGGAGAATCATTTTACCTTTCTAAGCCTGACTTTACTCATCTATAAAATAAAAAGGCTGGATAGAATAATCACAGGATTATCCAATCTCATTCTAACATCTTATGAATCTTATGATTATAATAAAATTCATTAATTTTTCCTCTTTTCTTATTTCATAGATATTTTAAAGTTTCTTAATGACATGAGAAAATTTGTAGTTTTGTTTCAATGCTGATTTTATGATGATCTACTTTTAACATTTAAAAAATCTCTAGCAGAGATTAATTGGGATATTGTACCATTAAAACTAATACTTAGGTTGCTCTTATAGGTCCTTCCTTTAGAGGCCCTACTATAGTGAATCTTTAGTGAGTTTTCAGATTTTTTTATACCCTACTTCAAGCTTTACTTTCATTGTAAATAGTTAAAAATTAGACTCATTAATGGAGATATATCTGAATGCATTACATTTATCTTTATAGGAAGGGTGAATTTAAACTTTGATATGCAGTAAAAATGAAACCAGAGCTCTAGAGCTTCATTTTAATTCTTAATTTCCTTGATCCAAACATTCTGTCATTGACATTGGTCTCCCAGACCTTCTGCATATCTGTAGAAGCTAACACCATCAAGTAAATCATGTTTCATTAAGTTACCTGGGACATAATTGTTGAATGAATAAGCAGATGTTTCAAGAAATGCACAGGGTTTTTTTTGGAAATATGTTATAATATTAATGAAAGCTTCTCAAATTAATGGCATCCACCATTGGTTTTAAAAGGTATAAAGACATAAGAAACAAATTTGATCATTTTTTCATATTTTATCACTCAAAATATTTCATAAGCATACCATTTGTTGTATTTACAGTTGAGAAAACCATTGAAGATATCACTCAAAGAGCCCACATGATGAAGATTATCAAGGATTATTACAACAGGGAGTTCTACACCATTATTATCAGCACTGCACTGTTCAGCCAGGTTAGCTAGATACTGTTGCAACTCCTTGAAAAAAATAAAGAAAACAAATACATCAATGATAAATTTATACCAATGGCAAGCAATTCATAGTTTAGGAACAGCACACTTTGCCATCCAGTATCTTTGATTAAAACCTATAGGTCATTCCAATGATATAAAACAAAGCAAAAAATATAATGCTGAGAGGATATATTTTTTAAAGAAAAGAGCAAAGAGAAAAACCAGTACAGAACAGCTGCAGCAAATATAAAATTGTGAAAACAAAAGCATGCTTCTCAGTTGTTGTCTCCCCTTTAAAAAAGCAAAAAAAAAAAAGGAGAGTGGGGGGAGTGAGTTCTGGATATGAGCTCTTAAAATAAATCACAAATACTGAGACTTGATTCTTGCTTTTAGTATTACAATGATAAAAGTGGATTTTAGCAAACCTTATGATAAGTCCAAAATGGCACACCTAAGTTTCCACTAATACTTTAAATGTTTTAATTCCAATTCATTTCAATAAGGTGCATGAAACCACAGCCCCAGGACTTGGACAGAAGTATGGTTATTATTTATAATTTGTATGCAACTTCTGTGATTTTAAACAAATATAAAATTTGTTATATTTCCCTGGGTCACTTGACATTAGCATTTAGCATTTCTTGAGCTTCTTGGTTTTTTTCTACAGGTATTATTCCTTTCTAATAACTTTTAATCTAAATATGATAACCAGTTCACTGATTGACTGCTCTCACAGATGGGTAGGCCAGACACATAATTAGGTTTCTTAAAATTATCCTAATCAGTAAGAGCATTTCCATAATATTTGCATATTTACAATGACATTTTCAATTTGTAAATCTTGCTCAGGGTTAAAAAAACAATTCCATGATTCCAATTTCTGGCAGCGAGGTGAATACATGAACCACTCACCCTAGAGGCCTCCTCTTCTGTCTGTAATACTACTTTTAGAACTAAAGGCAGAAAAGGATCAGGCCAGGGTTTTGAGGTATTTAGTAATATATTCATTTAAATTTAAATAGAAAATTTATTAGAAAACTAATGCGCAGTATATCTTACATTGAGCCAATCACATTGAATAAATATAGCCTACATCAGAGAATACAGAAAAATACGTTTAAAATAATGAATAGTCTGGAGAATTTCATTTATCTTAAAAGACAAAAATGGAATTTATATCAATAATCTACCCATATTAAGTCATTCACTCATTTATAAAACATTGACTGCCTATCTTCTATGTTCAACGCTCTAGACAATCCCGAGGTGTACAAAAATAATGGATCATCGTTCAAGTTAGTAAGTTTAACATTAATTATGAACTGAATCAAGTACTTTTCTGGGCATAGGGGTTAAAAAGTCTTCCCTTGTAGGCTTTAAGATGGTCACATTAAGTACTAAAATTTAAATATGATAAATCATTTGAATATAATGTTATAGTATATTAGGAGCTATGAGAGGTCGGGGAGGAGATTTTGCCTAGGTGGTAGATATCAAGGAAAGCTTTCTAGAAAAGGAAATGCTGGAGCTTGGGAGGGTGATAGGTACCTACATAACTAATAAATGTACAAAATGCAATGTAAAATATCCCATGAGAGAAGTTAAAAGAGAAACATGGTCTGTAGGAAGAAGAAAGATTACTTCAAACTGGGGGATCCTGATGGACATATAGCGAGGTGGAATTTGAGATGAATTCTGAATAATGAGAATTCCAAATGATAATTATGCAGTTATTTATCCTTTCAAAACACCTTAGCAAGCACTTATTATGTTCCAGGTACTCTTGGCACTAAGGATTCAGAGATTATTTCTCCATTCCAGGAATTTAGAGTTGATAAGGAGAGGTCAACAAGTAAATCACAAAAACAGTGTGGTAAGTGAAATGCACAAAACACGATAGGGAAACTTAAGAGAGGCCCCTCATCCAGACTTGTTCAGAGAACAGGGTACTTGGGGACAAACTACTGAAGTACAAATAATAAAGAGTGGAAGCTGGAAGGTATGAGTGTGTGATGTGTTTGGGGAAATAATAAGTGCTCTGTTGTTACAAAATAAGTTGTACATGGTAGTGGTGGTTGCTACAAAAAAGAAAATAGACTTTGAATCCATGCAGAAAAATTTGGATCTTTCTATATAAACAAATGTGAACCATCAACTTTTTTTTTTTCAGTAGGGAAAGAGCAATTTATTTATCAAAGGAAACATAAATATGAAGGAAATAATGATTAATTAGAAATGGAAAAAGCATTCAAGAAGCTTATTGCCCAGAATAGTGGGTTACATGAGTGTGTGTGTGTGTGTGCGTGCGCGCACACGCGTGTGCGTGTGTAAAAAAACCAAACTGTAATTCACAATAAAAAAACAATGTATGTGGGTTGCCTGGGTGGCTCAGTGGGTTAAGTGTCTGCCTTCAGCTTATCCCAGGGTCCTGGGATCGAGTCCCGCATCGGGCTCCTTGCTCAGCGGGGAGCCTGCTTCTCCCTCTCCCTCTGTCCTTCTGGCGTGCGCTCTCTCTCTCTCTCTGACAAATAAATAAAATCTTTAAAAAAATAATGTATCAAAAAAGCATACACCAAAGATTTTGTTCAGAGTGTGTAAACCTTACTTGTACTGCTGGGAAAGATTTTCTGGTGGTAGTATTATTTGCTATTAACCTTTTATTTTTAGGATTAGGTAATGTTTTGATGCTTAAAAATGGAAGAAGAGCTTTCCAAATAGAGGGAAAAGAATAATCAAAGGCATAAATACAAAAAGTGTGGTAGGAAAGAAACTGATAGTATATCTTTTGTGAATATAAATGTTAAGTAAGTTGGAAAGAAGAGTTTGCAACCTGGAATGATTTGAAAGGTTACTGGACTTTTCCCGTTGGCAACAAATACTGAATGTTCTGTCTGGGGTTCTGAGTAATATAGTCAGAATCATGATTTCAAAGTTTGGTAAGTATATTGTAGAGGAGGAAGAGAAACCGTCAAGAGAATAACAAAACTGTTGAAGCCAAGAGACACTATCGGACTCAATAGGGATGGTAGAGGTGTGGGAAGATTTTGACTTAGTGCGGACAGCAATGGAAAAATGTTGCGGGATTTAATGCAGTCAGACTTTAATAATGAAAAGATACTCTATTTTCCATGAGGGGAAGGGATAAATCAGAAAGAGAGAGAAGGAAGATTTAACAGAAGTTGTGAATCAAGCAGTTAGAAAACAGTTGTTGTCATCCAAGTGATAGAGAGTATTAATTTCGGTGGGAGGGGGGCAGTAGCAGAGATGGATGGAAGAAGATGGATTTGGTATTTTTTCAGAGTTGAAACTGGGTTTTCTAAACATGTGTACTTAGTATGCTAATAGAGACATGTGTATGCTAAGGGAAAGGCCTACTATTCAGGAGAGTGGGCATGGCTTACAGCGTCCAATTGGAGTCAATATAAATTGAAACCAGGGGAGTCATCCAGGTGAGAACAGAAGTGGGAGAGACCAGAATGTTGCATCATATTTTCATTTACCAGTAGGTGAAGGAAAAACAGTCAGTGGATGAGACTGAGAAGGAGGTTGCTGGAGGGTAAGAAGGAAACAGAGAATGATAATCATGAAAATTAGAGGAATTTCTAGAAAGGGAAGGTTACCTATAGCGATTTTCTATACATAAGCAATAAAAGAAACAGAGAGAGAGACAGAGAAAAGAAGCAAAGGGCATTGAATTTGGTAATTAAGACATCACTGAGTGATTTTGGAAAAGTAGGGCCATTCGATTCTATGATGATTCTCTCTCATCTTGAGAAAGGTAATAGACCTCTGTGGGAATCTTATGAAAGCTATGGACCAGTTGCAAGTGGACATAGGCATACACAACTAATTTTGGCATACAACTTAAGAGTTTTCCTCAGACCTCTTTGAAATCACTTTATAATCCCCATTGTCGCTTCATTGGGCCTAAATCTTAGATTGAAGTACTGAGGCATTAGCATTAAAAGTTTCATGTCCAAGATCTAATTAGGCAAAAGAAAACAGGTACACCTACCAGATGGACACTGATAATGAGATGAATCCCATACTCTGAAAATATACAGAGAACTCGGCAGTTCTATAAAAGCTGTTGATCATTGCCTTCTCTGGTTTTGACTCTAGACACAGCAAAAATGAATCTGCCAAGACCAATTTTCTGATCTTTTCCTACCTAACATTCCAAGTGTTTTCAGCGGGCCACATATTATTTACTGAATCCATCCGCAGCCTTCTGGGCCCGCTATACCAAATGTCACAAAGTGCAGTTGTGTGTGTGTGCTGCTCTCGATCAAAATATTCCAGCCGGCAGCTTGAAGAGCAGGAAGAGGGACAGAATGTAAAATGCAGAGGTACCAAAGATTTTTTTTTCATTTGATGGTTTTATTGTTCGTTTGTTTTTGTTTTTGTTTTTTGTTTTTTTTTTCAATCAGTAAGTGCTTTTTGGCTTTGTCTCTTCGGTGCTAACTACGGCCTAGCATAATGCACGTCCACCATTACATGGCTTCCTTTTCCAGGGATGGGGTTTATCACTTCATGCCTCACTCACCCTTTAGTAAATCTACACTGCGAGCATCTGTCCCTCAGACAATCTCAACTAGTCCTCCCTATTCCTTTATACCATTCTCACTTACCTCCCCCTCACCCCACGCCACACATAAAAGTGAAGCAAAGCAAAGCAAAGCAAACAACCAAAACCACTGTGGATTCTCTGACAATTTGGCAAGAAGTGGCTAAATTCTCTAGCAACTACTGTATCCAGCATCACTGACAGTTCATTCATATCTTAGAAAGAAACAATAAATGTTTGTTAGTTGTATTTTGTGTTTTCGTGGTGCCAAACGCCACATGATTTGTCCAGGGATTTTTCCTATTACTTCTTCCTAGCATCATTAATTCTGTTCCAACGCTCTTGGCAATGCTTTGTTTTTCATTATTTTTGTAATAACAAACATTAAGCTGACCTGTTAACGACACAAGTGATTTTATTCAGGAAAAGAAGAAAATAAGAGTGTTGGAAATGTTTG